TAGTCAGGTGTAGCTTTCCCCCCCCCTCCCCCCCGCCCCACCCTCCATAATCACACAGCCTCTGAATTTAGGAGGATTAAATATATTTATATATATGTTTGTGTGAATATATGTGTATATTTATACGTATATTTACATATATGCATATATATTTACACATATAGATACATACATACATACATATAATATTAGTGTATTATAGTGTGTAATAGTGTAATTTAACTCATTTACAGTAATGTTAGTTCGTTAAAGTTTTGTATATTTTACCAAAACATCTTTTTTTAATCTGACTTCACATTTTTTTATTTATAACGGTAACGTTTTCCTTGTACAGGACGTGATGATAGAAACGAAAGCGGCTTATTTTTTTAAATGCACTTTATGTAAAAAAAAAAAGAAAAATCATGTTTTTTATATGTACATACAAGAAAGTTATTTTTACAGCTGAAAAGAATAAACATTTTATATTAATATACAGTATATGTTTGCGTGTATAAACACATTTTAGTTACACTTTGTTACATCAACAACAACACAGTTGACCGTGGCACGGAGTCACTCTTTCACTCTGGTCCTCTCTCTCTTCTCGCGCTCATTGGAAATGCTGTGAACGATGCCCTCTAGAGCCGGGTACTGAAGGATCCGTTTCCTCTGCACGGAACCGACGGAAAAAATCAAAACGGAAAACTAAATTAGACTCAGTTCGGAAATACTTAAATATATGTACTAAAATATATATAGATACTGTATATGTGCATATTTTATTAAATATAAATGTTGTATGTAAGTATATATATTTTTTATATACTTACATACTGTATATATAAAATATATATACATATAGAAACATACATATATGTATATAATATATAGTACATTTAGGTTCATAAGTACAATACACTTAACACATTAAAAAAATAATTTAAAAATATGTGAATATATGTAGTCATATATTCACATATATGTGTAAAAACATTTTTACCCGTTGGACGTTCTTGTACGTCTGAGCCAGAACCAGCAGCAGAACCAGCAACAGAACACTGAGTCCAACCACTGCCACTGTGTTCTGGGACAGTCCTGTCGACCTTTGTCCAGTCAAACTGCCTGTGTGGAAACAAACCTCAGTCAGTCCAGCGTTTGACCTCTGACCTTTTCACGTTACTTCGTTATTATTCATAAATGCTGCACTCACTCGTCATCTGGACTTGATACGTCACGTTTCCCAGAATGCCGTCTTTTTTTGAGAAGAGACAAACCCAGGTGGTCCACGTGTCCTCCGACAGCAGGCTGATGCTCAGAGTCTCCCCCTGATGGACAGACCTGACCGTCTGGCTGCCGTTGACCTCGCTGGTCACCTGCAGCCATTCGTACCCAGTGACTTCACTGTCGTCGGACAACTGACAGGTCAGCGTGGCCGAGTGTTGACCTTCTGACCCCGCACTTCTGACAACTGAGGGACAAAAAAGGAAACATTTGTCAGAATAAGTTTACGTTTTGATTTAAAAAGCCAAATCTCTGGCCACAGCTCCACTCACTTTTAGCAACGACGAGTTTCATCACTCGAGTCAGACTCTGCCCCTGGATGGTCCCGGAGCATCTGTACCTGCCCCCGTCCTGGAAGTCCACCTCCTTCAAACCGGCAGACTTGTCCAAGGGACTCTGATCGGACGGTGGGGGGGTGAAAAAGGAGGGGGGCAAACGATCGGGGGTAAGTTTGGAGAAAAAAGAGGCAGGCTGCAGTTTCTCCCACAGGGACGAGGAGGGGGTGAATCCAGGGGAGAAGACGCAGGGCAGGTGGACCGCAGACCCCACGGCGGCGTACACCCTGGTGTCGTCGGTGGGGGGGTGGATAATGCCTTAATGTGAGGAGAGAAGAGTTT